TTTTTTGGGGGGGGTTATTATGGAGGTCCTGGCATCATCTTAAAGCTTGTTAATTTTGTTTTGTTTTCAATTAAAAGAAATAAACCTCTGACTAGAATAGAAGCCGAGGTATTTGCAAGAGAAAGATGTAAGGGTCTTCTTGGGTCAGAGGTAAGAATAATAGCGAGAAAATGGCCGTTATAATTTGGTGATTTCCTAAGCTTGAGTGTCCTTGGAAACAACATGTTTACATTTGTTTGCCTTTGATTAGATCTAATGTGTTTTTGAATGGACTTAAACGATGTTGAGCGGGAAATCATTTTTTTAAATTGAATAAAAGTTTCCAATCTGTCGGAAGAAATGTCTGTGCCTTCGATTTTATTACTTCGAAGAGCGCCTGGTTTCGCCACGATTCCATACAACTATTTAACAGAACTTTATTTTTGCTTTGTCCTATTCATTGTTCCTACCCCTCATTTAGGTGATCGTGTTAAGTATTTACATAATGACATTATTCATGCACAAGCCCATTCCTGCATAATGTTCCATTAATGCATCAAGCACTCTTACCTTTACTGTAAGAGTGACACAATATTGAAACAAAAGTTTTCAGTACAAAACAATAACATATAGTCAAAACTGTCTAAGACGGCCACTCATTGTCGAGGAGAAAATGCCCGTCTTAGCCATGTGACCGTCTTACACAATGTTACGTAAAAATACACAAGGGAAGAAATGGGAAGTGGACGTTTGTACAGGTGATTGTCTTATACAGGTGGCCGTTAGAACACGGCAGACTGTATGCTGTATTTGCTTTGAAATCGACGTATCAGTTTACCAGAGTTATGCTCTTTTTTTCGAAATGGCAGCCGCAAGTGAAACACCATAGACAGCACGAAAAGAGCCACACAGAAGCTATTATAATTTTTCGGACAAATTTATTTGTGTTTCTTTTCATAATTGTTTCGATAGAATGTCTTCTTTTGAAGAGGGTCGATATTTTTCTCGTGTGTGTTTATTTTAAAAAATATTCTTTTGACCCCTTAAAGTATGATTCAATAATGGAACGCTATGCACGAGAGGGTGCGTGCTCTTTCTCGGGGTGAGATTTGGCCTTTGTATCTCACTGTGGCTACTATTT